TTTTTGTATGGTGCTGAGGATTGAACCCAGGGCCTCACAATTACTAGATGAGTGCTCTACCACTAAGTTACAACCCCAGCCTTGCACCTTTATTTTTTCATTCTCTCTTCAAATAATATTATACTTCTTTGCCTTTAATATAAAATCCTAAATCTGTACACTTGTGTTTTCTCCTCTGTCTTTTTTACTATCCACATACTTAGCTTTTCTCTATTTAGAAACTTCATAGTGCATTTTTTTTTGCTTTATTATTTAAGAATATTTAAAATTTATAAAAGTTTTTTATATATTTACTGATATATTTAGTTTCTACTGTGTTTTATCTTTTTGGTAGACATATGAATTTCCTTAAATATAGATATATTTTTGTCATGTGTAGAGTTCTAAGTTGTTAGCCATTCATCTATCTCCTATTAAACTAGCTGTCCTTTGTTCAAACTCCTTGACCAGGTTTTAAATTGAGCTTATTATCTTTCATTATTATTTGTAGAAGTTCTGTAGATGCAGAATAACACTCATTGATATCCTTTGCAAATATTTTCTCTCATTTTGTAGCTTACATTTTATTTTCTTAATGTTTTTTGAAATATAGTAATTTTTAATTTGGTCATTTTTTTCTTTTATACTTATTCCTTTCTATAAACTATCTAAGAAAAATTTTGACTTCCACCTCATAAAGATATTTTTATATTTTTTTCTCTAAAAATACTAAGATTATTATTATTATTATTAGGTACTGGGAATTGAACCCAGAGGTACTTAAAGGCTGAGCCACATCCCCAGCCTATTGTTATATTTTATTTAGAGACAAGGTCTCCCTGAGTTGCTTAGAGCCTCGCTAAGTTGCTGAGGCTGTCTTTGAACTTGCAATCCTCCTGCCTCAGCCTCCAGAGCCGCTGGGATTACAGGTGTGTACCACTGAGCCTGGGTTGATTTTTATGTAAGGAGTACTAGTCGATCTTCAGTTATTATGGCATGAGATAAATATCTATTGAGCTTTTATTTGCTATGTTTTAATTTCTAAAAGTTCTATTTGCTCCTTTTTTTGAATATGAAATAGCTTTTATGTCTTTGTGTGCTCAACAGATACCTTCAAGCCTGTTTTATTTTTTTAAACACAGTGAACATTGTTTTCTATCTCATTTCTGATAATTCTAATATTCAAAGCTTGTGTGCACCTGTTTCTCCTATCTGTTGTTTCTGTTGATCCTAGTCACAGTCTCATTTCCTTATTTGCTTCTTCATCATTTATTGTGCGTTGGGCATGGTATTTGCAAAATTTTTGTGGAGTAATTTGAGACCTATGATGAGGGTACTTCCTTTTGCAGAGGATTTACGTTTGTTTCTTTCAGACACTTCGGGGCACCGCCTGACCTGACTGTGTTAAATCAATACAATGAATGAGATTGATCTTAGTCAAAAGGCAGAGAAACAATTGAGCTTGGACATTAATTCAGTTCCAAAGTTTTGTCTTACCTTGATAGTGTAGCTCACTCAGGTGGTAACTTTTTGTAGGGAGATCTCCTATCTTAGATGATTATGGGTTTTGGTTTATTTTTCCCTCATTTTGTTAGCTGTGAAAACCAAGGTTCTGTCTTTCAAGGACCAAAAATGCTTTCAGGGCAAAGGCATATTTGAATTAACAGAACTATCTGGGTACTGTTTTCTTTTTGGTTAGGACTAGAAATTCTTTTCTGTCTCATGGTATCTTCTACATTTCTAAGAAAATAGTTTTTTGTTTTTTGTTTTTTGTTTTTTTTTTTACACTATGTAGGCTCTTTAGTTATTTTTTCTCAGAGATGATCTGAATAGCCCAGTTTACAATTCCTATTAGGATTCCCCCCACTCCCAAATGATTAATCACTTGCCTAACAACATATGTTGAAAAATGAATTCTTTCCACCCATGTTTCAAATGTCACATTTATATTTTACTCAATAAATACATTGGTCTGTTTCTGACCTTTTTCTCTATGCCATTTGTCTCTCATTATTTACAGTAGAAATGGATGGTTGGAGAATACCACAAGAAGTCTGCCTATTCTATTTTCCTTTCTTGGTTTTCTTTAACTAACAGCCCAGATTTTTCAGGCAGAGAAATCAGAGAAAGCTTGCCTCAAATGTTGGTTTAGGATGTTCTCATATATGGCTTATGGCAAAACAAAATAGTGTAAATTTTACAGTATCAGCATCAGTTAATCTCTTTAAGAGATTACAGGTGGTGCACACCTGTAACCCCAGTGAGGAAGGGCAAGTTAGAGGCCAACATCATCAATTTAGTGAAGTCCTAAACAACTTAGTGAGACTCCATATCAAAATAAAAATAAAAAGGGCTGGGGATGTGGTTCAGTGGTAAAGTGCCTCTGGGTTCAATCCCCAGTACCAGTATTAGCATTAGTAGTAGTAGTAGTAGTAGTAACAACAACAACAACTACTACTACTACTTATATGCATTTATCATTTTAATGCACAAATACCACTTCTAGGAAATTATCCTTAAGTCACACCTCAAAAAAAATCAAAATTCATATTTATAATATTCATTCCAGCACTATCTGTATTTGAAAAGAATACTAAAATGAATTAAATTTTATACATAAGAAATAGGGTCAATAAACTATCATCTATCTACACAATGTTAAATGGAGATTGTGGATCTATTAAAAACAAAACAAAACAACTTAGTTAAATAAAAATTGCAAAGTATAAAAAAAGTTTGCATGGTATACTACCATTTATTTGTATGAGAAAAAAGAGCATATCAAATCTAACATATATCAAAACAGTCAAATCTAACATATATAGAAACAGTAAAATTATCACAGAAAAAAACATAACTTAAACTCTGTATACCTTCAATGAGAGTCTAGGGAAAAAAATTATAAAGAATTCTTGAGAGGGCTGGGGATGTGGCTCAAGTGGTAATGTGCTCGCCTGGCATGCGCGGGGCGCTGGGTTTGATCCTCAGCACCACATAAAAATAAAGATGTTGTGTCCACCGAAAACTGAAAAATAAATATTAAAAAATTCTCTTTCTCTCTCTCTCT